TGGGCGATCCGATTCCGATGATTAACCGACAGCATGGCCGACACTCTCATTCGCTGCTGCTGTATTACGTAAAGCGTTCCACGGCGTATTCTTACCTGTAGCATCATCACCCTTCACCCTGCACAGAATTACGGAGTACCCGTACATGTAAGCTGGTCGTATTGGGCCTTAGGACCGACTTGCCGACGGAGAGACGGCATTACTACGGCCATACGATGCCAACGGCAATCATGTTGGTGATGCCCGCGGCCGAGAACTTGAACCTGGCCAATGGCCGTTCCAGGATGCCGCAACCAGGCATGGACATATCCTTACATATCATCACATGTGATGCTTCTGCTGGTCGGCGCCTGAACACGTGATAGCAGTACGTGGAGATCCTGTCTATCTGTCATGTAAATGCGTACGAGATGTAGGTACCCAGTATTACCTCTACACGGTCGGATCTGGACCCTGGCCGAGAACTGATCAGAACTGCCCCGTTAGTAATATTATCTCGGCTGTGGCTAGTGATTGCGGTGGCTTAGATCGCTAGCGTTCAATTAACCCCCCTCTTTGAGGAAGTAGATCCGGAAGCTACGCTTGAACGTTCCTTCCAGTTTCGCAGAGCTTGATAAAAAGTTGGAGAGGAAGGGGGGAGGGGGGGGGGTTGGGGTTGGGGTTGGGGTTGCGCATATTTCAGCGACGTTGGGAATATCTTACCTGCCAAACCCCATCCTACAGCCCTTGTGATGTCCACGATAACCGTTGATCTCTGGTTCTTCTGTCGATATATTCCAACCCCCCCTTCATGGAGATGACCCTTGAGGCGAGGGGGGTTAGACGAAGAACAGAAGGAACTAAGATTTGACAATGAGAAAAGGTAAGATTTGCTTGCGTGGGTATGTGTATGGGTATGTGTGTGTGTGTGTGAGCCCCCATTTTCCCGAGATCAAAACCAACCAACCAATTCAGATGTGACATCCCATGAACACCCACCCCGTCACGATCCTATCTTCTTCTCCCTCCCTCTCTCTCTCTCTTCATCCTTCATGCCTGATTATTTCCTCGGAGAATACCGAAGGGACGAAGCCGTCACACGCATCTCTCGCAGGGATGTGTTTCTGAACTGTTTATCAGCGGAGGAGGCCGCGCTTATAATACATGTACATTGCTCATACTTGATTTAACCCCTCACCCCAAGCACGCAAGTTGATATCAATCACAACTTTTACGTGTCCGTTATTACCTGCCATCGTTATCATACTCGATAAGGAGGATCCGATGGAGGACGTACCATCACCATGTTTGGCATCTACAGACTCTCCATCCACCCCTCCCCCCCTCCCCCACGATAGTTGAAGAACAAGAAAGGGAAAGAAGAGAAGAGAAAAAGCGCCGCGCTGTAGAAAAGTCATGCGCGACTTGTAGTAACAACGCAGACAGTGACGACGCGGATGGCAAGTACACCCATCCCTGTGTGCCTCTCTCCAATATGACGGATGCAAACGATGACTCTACCCCCAAGGAAAGCCCACACGCGAGACTCTGAGGCGGACAGCCGGTAAGTAGGAGGATCATGAAGCCCAGCTTGTTTGTTCTATTTCATCTCTGCCGTGCTGGTATGGCCAGAACTTCCCCTCCCCCCTCAACACGCATTATTACGACGGAAGAAGAATGTGAGCTAGTTTCTTCGGTAAAGTGCGGATGAAGATGTAGTCAATCATGGCTCGACACAGCTGTTGCGTACTACGTACATGGTGCGTGCGAGAAAGAGAAGGAGAAGGAGAAGAAGAAAGAGTTGTAGATGGCTCACCATACTGACATATTCTGTACACAGAATACTGGCTCCCTTCACATGTAATAGTCACGTTGCACAGGGAAAGGAGAGAGACAGGAACCGCGGTTAATCTTCTGAAAAAAAAGAAGCTTCTTCTACATGGAAAAAGGAAGCGCGGGGGCGGGGAATCCTTTCTGGAGTTTCCGGGAGGGATTTGCTAATTAACAGTATGCTTTGTAGTATGCTGATGATGATGAGAATACCTTGCTCCGATGGCAACGTTCCATGCTGATAACGTAGTCGGATGTCGCCGGTCTTTTTCTTCGAACCGTCACTGCCTCTTGATCCGAGCTGGTGAGATGTTCTCTTTTCCTTCATCCGAGAAACCATCCAACACGGTGGTGGTGGTGGTGTTGGTGTTGGTGTTGGTGGGGGGGGGACCGGGATTGCTCCCACATTGGGCCCATCTTGTCCTCTTTTTCCCTCTTCTTTCCCTATCCAAGCTTCCCCTTTTGTAAGTCCGTCTAGGACCCCTTGCTTCCATGGTTGCCGTCAGTGATGTAACTCGTAATACAGCGCGTATACACGTAGACTGTTGATCACACACCCCGTGTTACATGGTCAGGGGTTCTACAACGGCTCGACCTCCCCGTGCCGCCCCCTGCTGCCTGTATAATAGGATGGACGTCTATTGTGTGTACGAGTGTGTGTACGAGTGTGTGTATGTGTGTGTGTGTGGCATCACGGCGGTCAGTCGCACACTCTATGCTTCCAACTCTAGGAGCAACAGGTACGACGGGACGGGATTGAGTAGTTTTCTTCCTTCTCTCTTTTCTTTTCTTCTCTATTCTTCTCCTTCCTCTCCTTCCTTCCTTTTTCTCTTACTAAGAAAAATCATGTTTTATTATCCATTGATACATGATAACCTTCCTGATTAGAAATACTCCATATTATATACCCCGGAAGAGAAGAGAGCACGCATAGAACAAGTATCGTGGCCTTGCATGATATCTGTAGATGTATTGATGCCGTCCCTCTTCTCCGGACCTTTGCCCTTGAAATCTTGGTTTGTCCATTTGTTCTCTTCCTCTCTCCATCTTCTATCTTGTTACTATACATCATCCTCATAAAAGTACATCATCCTGTAGAAGAATTCTCTCGAAATGCTCACCCGCCCGTACCCCCCCCCCCCCCCCCTCCACCCGCTCCACACCCCCCTCCACACCAGACCACACCAAAAACGCCTCAAAAACCCGCCAACTCACATCCTCAGGAATGGCAACTTTACGTTACATAGACAACTGATCATCTGTTCTGTTCTGCCGTTTTGCCTTCTTTTCTGCTTCTTCTCTTCCTTTCTCTTCTCATACACACATCATCACATCTATGCACGCTCTCGTTCTCACACATGTCTCTTATGTTCACTCTACTTTTCTTCTTCTTTCCCTGTTCCTTTCTGCTCATACTAGTGCATGCGATCTGTAGATGGATACGCTTCCTTGCCTTCATCCTCAGATCGTCTCATCGTGTCTGCCTCCCCCCTTTCTTCCCACCCATCACCGACAACGAAAACAGACGATGAAACCTCCTCCCCCCCCCCCCCCCCCCCCCCCCAGATTCCCGTCCTGTAATCGACACGTTGGAACGATGAGAGATCACTTGACGCTCAGAAAGCAAGCTCGCAAGCCTCCGGGAGAGAATAATAAGCGGGAGAGAGAAGAGAGCGAGACCATCCCCTCCATTTCGTAGCCGTACAGCCATCAGGTAATGACGCTGAAATGTATCCGGCCATATCTATCCTCATCAGGATCTCATACCTATCATCCTGAGAACTCGGACCGGTCGGCAATGGATAAGAATCGACCAGAACAGAGAGAGAGAGGAAGGGGAAAAAATTAACTCAACGCTCCTAGAATATAATATGCAGGGTTCAACAGAAGGAGGGTCCGGTCATGGTCGTGTGAACCTACAGACCGTTTATTTCTCTCTTTTCCCTTTTCGAGAGACCCCTTTGTCCATCTTAACCGTATACATGCATGCCGTCCCCCCCCCCTCCATGCAGATCGATGAGTTGGCACAAAAGTAGTCACGAGCAGACGAATTTTTTCCTTTTCCTGCTGTCTTCTGTCCGAAAGATGAATACATCATATGAGCTCTGATATATAATAGAAAATAGGTCGCTTTGTTACCGATTATCTGGTACTCCCATTCAGGTGAGAGAAGTATGCAACTGCAACATCCAAAGCACCCTTCTCAGGCGCTCTTACAAGTACCACTACGCCAACAAAAGAAAAAAAAAAGTAACAACAATTTTTTTCTTGGAAAAAATAATAATAAGAGAAGTGGTGCCGAGACCTTTGCGTGATCATTTTTAATTCAGGCATCGTGTACAGAGAGTGTATCTATGATATTGTTGTCGCCTTTTTCTTTTGTTTATTGTCTGCACTTTTTCAGTCACACGCCCACCCGTCGTCACCCGATGGCCATGCACTCATATTACGTGCATACGTTTTTTTTTTTTTTTTTTTTTGACAACGCAGAGAAGTACTCACTTGATCTGACAACCGACATGAAGGGAGAGTACTAGTAGTGATAATTGAAAGCGTTATATTTTATTGGCATTACCTCGTGTGGCGGGGTTCTCTCTATAGCTGTCGCTCGTGTTAGACATGTGAGAGAATCGTATTCTCGAACTCGACGAGAAAGCACCGAAATATTGAAAGAGGAATCCTAGCCATCCTCCGATATCAATAGACCCCCCGTAGTAAACACTGGGATGAATGGTTGAAAGAGTACTGCCGTGTAGAGGTGTAAGGAGATAATAACATCAACAATAGACCGAATAAGTAGTAGCCGACCGTCAAACCCCCCCCAAGTGAAGCACCAGGATCCTCAGGCTGACAGACGGCGTACTGCGCATTGACGCAGAGCATATTGTCGAACCCGACGCTCCTGACCGGCACGTAGACGGTGTAGTCCTGCCTTCACAAGACGGGCAGTATCATGATGAACTGCACCGTGAAGCCCATCGGCCTTGTCAATAACGTGGGCCTCGTGTGAGTGTCCTGATGGCCCTGGAATTGAAGCTGTCGTGCTCGGCGTTCTTTTTTCTTTTTTCTTTGTCCAGCCCGTCGCTTGTCTTTCCAGGTGAGATGGCGTGGAGAGAACAAGACATGTCTTTCTCATCGTTGCTGTCACTGCGATTGTAACTGATATAGCTGTCTCCGTGGCTGTTATCGTCGTCGTGGTTGTAGCTGCTATTGCGGTTGTAGCTGCTACCGTCCTCGTCGTAGTCGCCGTCGTCGACTCCCTTTTCTATATCGTTGTCAGGGGCCCTCTTCATCAGAGGAGTATCGGCGGAAGTATCAACAGCGGCAGCAACAGATGTGGCAGACTCCCTATCCCTCTGATCGCTCTTATGGATCCAGGCCAAGACCTTGGCGGGAACCCGGATCCTTAGCAGCGCCGCCGCCGCCGCCGCAACCAGGGGCGCTGCCGGTGAAGGACCGGACAGGCTGGGGCTGAGAGAGAGGGGGGAGAAGGCTTATTCTTGGGGTCATCTCGAGCCACGTCCCTCTGCTCCTGCCCCTCTCGGCGGGAAGGTTGGGGGGGGGGGGGTGAGGGTGACGATTTCAGACTCGGATCCGGACGTTCGACGATGTGTATATGGCGACGCGCGTGACCGTTTCCCAGTCGATGAACGACAGGGCCGCGGATCACGTCAGGACAGGAGCGTCGATGAGGGAACCCTTCATGACCGGCACCGCGACCACCGCCGAGAGGTATAGGAGGGCCGCGAGGAACCCGAGGGCCAGACGCGCGGCCGTGGAGCTCCGGAGGGAGCATCAGCCCATCGGGGGCTAGGATGCGGTTCGGGTGGTAGGCGTAGGCTATGGCTTTCCCGAGGAACTCGAGGAGCTCGACCATGGCGGCAGGGACCGAGACGACGCCGAAGCGCGACCCGCGGAAGCGGCGGAACATGATGGTGAAGCGAGACCAGCAGCCCCGGGAGGCCGGGGTGATGAGGTCGACGTAGACGAGGCTGAAGCAGGCCCTGCCGGCGCTGTGGACGGCCAAGAAGAAGACTAGGGAGAAGAGCGCGACACAGTTGTCGAGCGGCCTGGGCGACGTAGAGGTCTGGGAGGCGCAGTAGAAGGCCGAGGCTGTCTCCCCGAAGAAGACAGAGATGGCCGTCGTCATCAGCTCGGTCACGTAGACTACCCTCGACACCTTGGCCTTGCAGCCCGGCACCTCCAGGAACCGGCACGGCGCGACGCTGACGTGAGCCAGCTGCGATGCGAATTATAGGCACAGGAGGTGGTGGACGAAGACTTGCGTGTTCGTCTCGGCCCGTGGCCCCGTGGCGTGTTGACCACCACGACGGCACGATCGGCAGGACCCCGAAGATGGCCCGTATCACCACCACACACACTCACGTCTGCCTCTTCGCCCCTGCCCGCTCGAGCTGAGATCGGCTTAGACGGTGGGGTAGATGATGCGCAGCAAAACGCACCAGCTGTCGGTGGATGAGCCGGCATGTGAGGGTCCTCAGGATGAGGCCCGCGGCCGCTAGCTTATAGGATGCAAGATCTTCCGTGGTGGCCTGCGAGAGAACTGTCTCCGATGCCACCCTTCCTTCTCTCTGATAGAGGGAATAGAAGTTTCCTGTATTATAAGTTGCGGCGCGTGAACTCGAGGACTCCCATATGAGGGCTTGTGGAGAGTCAGAATGATAGAAAGGTTAATGCGTGGTGTGAGATAACCTTGTAAGATGGTCTTCTTGATTGATAGAGGTTCAGCCCAAAATCAGGAGCCTTTTCGAGAAAGATGTCTTCGGTCTCTCGTTCTTGTGGATCGGACCCCGATACGCCTGAGCTGTTGGGCCGTGTTGGTCCTTCGTTTCCTTCAGCATCATCCTCTCCATCCACTCGACCACGGTGCATCTGTACGATACCATACCACGCCGTACCATCATGGACGACCTACCTGGCCCTAGGCAGCTCTTCCGGACGTGCCTTCGCCGCCCCGGGGCTCTCCCCCAGGGCCGAGTGCGTACATATTTGATCTTCGCCTTTCTGAACGTACTCACTTTGATGAATGCCTTTGAGTCGACATGCCTCATCGTGATCCTCCCTGTATGGCTGACCGCCCTCCCCCGCCCCTCCACTCACGGCTGAGCAGTTCGATCACGGCTTGACGGGACATGCTCTTGCCGACTCCTTCTCCAGACCATAGCGGTGGAGCTCAACGCCTCGGTTGCGCAATCGCTCAGCTTCAGCTCCATCTTTCTCACGGGGATGACCCTCGTGCAGCCCCTGTCCGGTGAGATCAGCTGGGTCTTTGGTCGCAGAGGAGCCATGCTGATGGCTCTTCTGACCTTCGCAATCGGCACCACTGTATGCGCCTGTGCAGAGTCCCCGGGGCTGCTCCTGTTCGCGAGGCTCATCCAATGAATCGGGGCCGGCGCTACAGAGCCGGTCAAAGCCCTTGTGCTATACGACCTCTTCGACATGCGACAGAGGTCTGGATGGTTGGCCTACCTCGGTGTGTCCTGGGCTCTCGGCACCGTTGCCGGACCGCTCGTGGGCGCTGTCTTTGCGCAGAACCCACAGATTAGCTGGGTAAGTTGACAGTCTACCAGACGCTCCGCCGACGATGCGGTCTGCTGATGCACCTGTGCCTGTACGCAGAGATGGATATTTACCATCGATATGCCGCTCCTGTTTCTGAGCACCGCATGCGCCAGTCTCTTCCTAGGATACGAGGAGCGGCCATGGCCATCGTTGAAGACGATCCGGTTCGGAATGGACTGGGGAGGTTCGGCCCTGTTTGGCACATCAGGGAGCCTTGTGCTGCTCTCGCTGACATGTGCCGGCTCATACTATCCGTGGATCTCTGCCCAGGTCATCAGCCTGCTGGTCTTTGGACTCATCGGCTTCGTGGGACTGGGCATGTACGAGGCCTACGTAGCACGGTATCCCATCTTCCCGCCCAGGCTCTTCCGAAGGAGCTCAGCCACCATCTTGCTCGTGAGCGTGTTTATGCATGGCATCTTGACGTGGACGGTCCTGCATTACATGTGGATTCACGATGTTGGGGTCAGAGGAAGCGGTCCCTTGGAGGCGGGCATATCAGTGCTTCCTGCCACGATGACGGCTGCGTCGGCGGCCATGCTGGCGGGTCTTTTCGTGCCCGAAACGGGGCGCTACGGTCTCCTTCTCCGTGCCGGATGGCTTCTTGTCGTAGCCCTGTTTTTTCGCTCTGCTCTTTCTCCGGATCGACTTGGATCAGTGACCCCTACTCGGCCTCGGTGTCATGGGCGGGCTAGGCTTTGGCTTCCTGCTTCCAAGCATGACGGCGGGTATGCAGGCGACAGCCGGTAGAGAAGACAATGCCGAGGCCATATGCATGACGCTGCTGGCCAGTACGGTGGGCCAGTCGATCGGCGTCGCCATCGGGCTCACCACGTTCTCGACGGCTCTGGACCGAGAACTGGGCAAGCTCGGAGCGGCCGAGGGGCGGCGCAGGACGTGATCGACGCAATGAGCCATTGGTCCTCGTCGGAAACGGTGGCGCATGTGCCACCGGAGTCTCTCAAGTACGCGATTCTCAGATCTCTGCGGTGCGTCTGGGCTGCAGGCATCATCGGCGCGAATTTCGCCATGGTGCCCGTCTTGTGGACCAGATCTGCCCCGCTCGAGGAAGACCAGCCTACATCTGGCGCGACGGAAGATTCAGATGCTTTTGAGTTGAGGCACCTTGGTGCTATGCAGAGGCCTCGTAGGACAATGCCAAGGATTGGGGAAACGTCCAGGCCTGTGACAGTGTTGGAGCCAGCGCCGATGTCAGATGAGGATATGATCTGGATAGGCTGGCGTGTCGGAAGGCCATCGGGCACGCATGGATAGCGAGAAAGCCAGGATGAGACTAGATGTAGGCAAGCCAGGTTGGCAACGATGCCGATGCCAGCCCATTGAAGGCCTGCAACCTGTCAAGTTGACAAGTACGGGTACGAGTACACAGATTACTCGTCACTGGAAAGCTGTTGGCGAGTTGCTGGCCAACCAAGAAAGGGCTTAGTGGAGAGATGATGACGGATGACGGATGACTAATAGACCATGGCGCCTAGCCGTTTCGGGTCTTGGGCGATTCTACAGATGACAGATCTGTATATACGTCACCGATAGCATCATCACTACTGGGACTAGTACCATGTACTATTCATCCAATATGTATACGTGGAGAGGTTAGAAGCTACCGCTGGAGAGGAGACTATACGATGCCACGCAGATGCTAGTAGTATCATAATCATAATATATCAGCACCTCGCTATACGGGTACCATTACTATGAGTGCTAGTAATGCTGCAGATTATTACTAGTAATGGGAGGTAGTAGGTCCGGTCTCTATGTACAAGTAGGCCGATTATACACATACACATATGACTCTAAATGATATCCAAGCCCTCGAATCATTGGCCAGCGAAGTTGGCCAATGACAGATAAGTCTTCCTTTTTGTTGGGGGAATCTGGAGTAAAAGCCAAGGCTTAGCAACATGGAGGAAGCCGTACCGTGTACTCCGTACTCCGTATTATCGCTAATAGTAAAGGTGATGGCGGGGGTCTCGATATGATCGGCGCTAACAAGCGACTTGGAAAAAAAAAAGAAGAAACATCGATGATGCTTTGTGCGTGGATTCATACAATAAAAAAAACAGAAGACATGAGAACATATCAGATAGCATGTCAGAGAAGCCGAGTCTTCTTTACACCGTCTTGCAGGGCGACCTACGCCGATGATGACTACTATTTTATGTACCCCGTACAAGCGGTAGTAGCACTACTAGCAGCCCTGCCAAGTTTCTCATGACGCAATGGGCTATAAGAGGGAAGAGAAAATCACTCGTGTCTTCATTGTTGCCTACGTATGTGGCAAGGCAGGGCCGAAGTACACAGCAAGCAGCAGTTTCACTACGCAACTGCACCTGCCGAAGCATTAAAAGTGTCCATCCGACCAGAAGAAAGATGTCCACGATAATGCTGCATAGTAGTATTACATATTATGCTCGGAGCTCTGACTGGGCACTTCAAGCCCGTACTCGTAGACGTAGTGGTTGCAGGGCGCAGTGACCGCGCACGGGGGGGCACGCTGAACCTAGAGCTTCCAATCTCTGGACACGCTATTAACGCTCTTGGCCTTCGAGATACAGGCAAGGGGTTGATCTACCTGTGGGGCCCCAGACCGTCGACAGGAGCTCTTCAGCCAATGGGGAGCTCTCCTTCACATAACGCGGACCTCGCTAATCTGTCTGGCCGAGCTGGCAGTGGCAGTGGCTGGTAGCCTGTAATACCTGCAATACTACCTGACCGTACCTCTCGGTATAGCGTAACGAGCCTGTGGACTTGGCCCTGTCGGTTGGCTTCAACAAAAAAAAAAGCCTTTCCACTCTGTACCTTTTACTCTCTTCCCTCTTTTTTTTTTTGAACGGCTCCCCCCCCCCCCCCCCCCCATCAGTTAATACCGTTCTCATTCAAACCCTGGGCCTGCTCTCGTACGGTCAAGAAGCAGCAGTGGTCATCTGAGCAGCCTCCTTGTCCACCGACTACCGCCGCCATGGACTACACCACGGGTATCATGCCCCTGACCCAGGTGCACAAGCCACCCTTCACCATCGAGTCTCCCGGCTACGAGAAGGTCGAGGGCGAGACCATCCCCCGTCGTCATCCCAGAGCCAAGGACGGCCTGCGCAACGAGCCCAACGAGGGCGTCCAGACTGTCTTTGACATTGTCCGCCGCAGTGCTCGCGTCTACCCCAACCACAATGCTGTCGGCTCCCGCAAGCTCATCCACCTCCACAAGGAGACCAAGAAGGTCCAGAAGAACGTCGACGGCGAGATCCGCGAGGTTGACAAGGAGTGGCAGTTCTTCGAGCTCACGCCCTTCAACTTCCTCACCTACAAGCAGTATGAGGAGCTCGTCATCCAGCTCGGCTGCGGTCTGCGCAAGCTGGGCCTGAGCCCCAACCACAAGCTCCATCTCTTTGGCACCACCAGGTATAGTCGAACCCTCCCCCACCCGATCCCGGCAGTCGATCCTCGGTGCCGATCCTCTATATATGTAGGGGATTCATCAACTGACGGCCCCGCTATCGACCGACAGCGTCAACTGGATGTCGCTTGCCCACGGCTGCGCCTCCCAGTCCATCCCCATTGTCACCGCCTACGATACCCTTGGCGAGGAAGGTGTCGCCCACTCCCTCATCCAGACTCAGGCCGACGCCATGTACGTCGACGCCCAGCTCCTCAAGACGGCCACCAATCCTATCCTCAAGTCCAACGTCAAGACGGTCATCGTCAACACCGAGTCCGTCTTCGCCTCGGGTGGTGAGCTCGAGGCCTTCAAGGAGACCAACCCCGGCGTCAACGTCGTCACCTGGGCCGATGTGCGCCAGCTGGGTCAGGACAACCCCGTCGAGCCCGTTCCCGCCAAGGGTTCCGACCTGTACTGCGTCATGTACACGTCTGGCTCGACTGGTCTCCCCAAGGGTGCCTGCATCAGGCACGAGTCGCTCGTCGCCGGTGGTGAGTAGATTCCGTCCCCTCCCCGCCCTGTTAACTCCCTTAAATCCGACCCCTTGGCTGATCAGACATGTGCACAGTGACCGGTCTCCTGACCTGTGTCGAGGAGAGCGTCAGCGACAAGGAAGTCGTCCTCGCCTACCTGCCCCTCGCCCACATTTTCGAGATGGCCCTCGAGAACCTCGTCCTGTCCATTGGTGGCACCCTCGGTTACGGAAACCCCCGCACGCTCTCCGATACCTCGGTCAAGAACTGCGCTGGTGACATGCGCGAGCTGAGGCCGACCGTCATGGTCGGCGTGCCCCAGGTCTGGGAGACGATCAAGAAGGGCGTCATGGCCAAACTTAACTCGTCTAGCTTCCTGGTCAAGAATCTCTTCTGGGGTGCCTTCTCCTACAAGACCTTCATGTCGAGGAACAAGCTTCCCGGCGCCAGCCTCCTGGACGGAATCGTCTTCAAGAAGGTCCGCGATATGACTGGCGGGCGGCTGCGCTTCACTATGAACGGCGCCAGCGGTATTGCCGCCGATACCAAGCACTTCCTGTCCCTGGTCCTGGCGCCCATGCTGGCTGGATACGGCCTGACCGAGACATGCGCCAACGGTGCTCTGGGCTGCCCGCTCGAGTACTCGTCCGAGGCTATCGGCCCGGTGGCGGCCTCGGTCGAGGTCAAGCTCGTCGCCATCCCCGACATGGGCTACCTCACCGACGACCCCGAGGGCGCGCCCCAGGGCGAGATCTACATCAGGGGCAAGCCCATCCTGTCTGAGTACTACGACAACCCCGAGGAGACCAAGAAGGCCCTCACGGCGGACGGCTGGTTCAAGACGGGCGACATTGGCGAGTTTGATGCCGACGGTCATCTCAAGGTCATCGACCGTGTCAAGAACCTCGTCAAGATGCAGGGCGGCGAGTACGTGGCCCTGGAGAAGCTCGAGGCCGTCTACCGCGGCAGCCCCATGGTCGCCAACGTCATGATCCACGCCGATCCCAACCACTCGCGCCCCATCGCCGTCATCATGCCGAACGAGAAGGTTCTGGCCGAAGAGGCCGAGAAGCTGGGTGTTAAGGAGGCCGACATGCACGTCGACAGGAAGGTCAACGCCGCCGTCCTCAAGAATCTGCAGGCTACCGGTCGCCGTGGCGGTCTCGGCGGTATCGAGATTGTCGCCGGCGTCGTCCTTACCGATGCTGAGTGGTCTCCCCCTAGTGTAAGCCATGTTCCCATCCACAGCCAGCATCTGAGGCCGCCAGCCATACGCACGAGTACGAGACTAACAATGACATTCCTACAGGGCCTTGTCACTGCCACCCAGAAGCTCAACCGTAAGACGATTCGTGAGACGTTCAAGAAGGAGATTGACGGATGCCTCAAGACCATCTAAATTCTTGTTTCGAGGAATGAATCAACTCATGGATCCCTGAATTAACAATACCAACAAAAAAAAAACCTTCGAGCATCAAGAGAATGAACTCTTGGAAACTGATGCGTGCAGTGTGCGATTTCTGGTTTCTTTTTTTCTTCGCCTCTGCTTCGTTCTCCCCCCCCCCCCCCCCCCCCCCTCTTTCTGCAAGGATCCCACTATTATAATGCCTATTAGGGAGGAGGCAGGCAGGACAGACAGTACAGTACAGGCAGTCGGGATGAGATGGGGGTCACGACGACACGCGATGCAATGTGTCTCTGTTGGTTCCCTCGGGACCCTATTCTCAGTCGTTTTGTAAATATATCCTATCTAGCTTTCGGCGTTAAATGTGAGGAAAGATGTTTACTATCTGTCGACTTTCTTTCTTTCTTTTCTTCTCTTGTTCTTTCCAAAGAGTTTCAGAGACATGCTGTCATTCTTGACACGTTCTATTACATTAGACATGTTCCGTACACACACACGCAAAGTAATAAAAAAAAGGAGGGAGGAGGGGGAAGGGGGGTATCATGATCTCATTGATGGAATATGATATTTATAAAAAAAAAGAAATAGAAAGAAAAAAAACAACCCCGTTTTCAACACACGCCAGAACATCGAGTGTGAAAAAAACAGAGCTGGTTTAGAGAACAGATATGGACCAAACAGAGTGATGATGATGATGATGGGGAAAGAAAAAAAATCTTTAAGATCCATATTTCCTCCTGAAAAATGCCAGATACGGCACGCGATCCCTATCCTTAAAGAGCTTCTGCCTATCGTGATGATTGTCCATCCTGACCTTTGTGACCCTGGAGTCGTCGCAGTATAACCATGCGGACGGGTCGTGTGTCCTCGGATCGCGGACGTAGGCCGTGTAGTGGCCCGAGTTGGCCGTCGTGCCCGTGTGTTCCACCACTGCGAAGCACTCGTATGCGAAACGGCCTGAAAATGCTTTATCTGTTGGTTGTTGCTGTTGTTGTTGCTGTTGGGGATGTGAAGAAGAAGAGGAAGATGAAGATGGGGGAGGGTTAGGAGGAGAGGGAGAGGTGGAAGTAGATGAGGAGGAGGGGCAAGGATCCGGACGGAGAAAGTATCGCGACATGTCTAGATGGTTGAGGTCCCATGTTATACGAGCGGTGGACTTGGTGGAGCCACCCACGTCGTAGCCGAACCGGTTGAAGCCGACGCACAGGAGGGACGGCATGCGGGGGTAGGCGAGGCGGGTGGTGGCGCGCTTGTGGCCCTTGCACCGGTCGCAGAAGTAGTCGTCCAGTATGTTGCCGCCGACGTGGTCGGCCAGGGCCCTCTCGAGCGAGGCGTCGGCGTCGCCTATCGACGGGGTGATCATGTCGACGGTGCGAAAGTTGTACGACTCGTTGCCGCAGTGGTGGCACTCGGTTATGCCCAGCTCGATGAGACGCCAGTACCGGTCCACCATGGACTGGTGGTGCCGGCTGTGGTTGCGCCAGAACTCCATCGACGCAGAGAGCACAGACTGGGACGACGTGTCGGGCTGCGACGGGTAGCCCGGCTGGTTGCGCTGCACGTTGGTCTCGTCGTCCAGGTGCGTCAGGAGGAACGTCATGAACTCCTGGGCGTCGTGCTGGCAGTTGTCGCCGAACTTCTCCACCGCCTTGGTCTGTACGCTTATGTGATAGGCGTAGTTCTACCGTTTTGTTGTTGTGTCAGTTGGCACGTTTGACTTGATGGGCGTATTGATAGATGTCGAGGAAAGAGAGGTGCATCGTCCAACTTACCATCAACGTGGATGCCTTCATCACCTCAAACTTGCCCGTCGACATCCAGTGGAACAGGTTCGACAGGATCTGCATCATGAGCTGCGGCTGCTCAATCGTCTCGTTGGCCCGCTTGGGCACCGTGTACCTCTTCTTCCAAGCCGGGTCGGTCAGTTCCTTGCCAAACTCGCACGCCAGCAGCGACTGCAGTATGCTGTTGGCGTAGCACCACTGATGCGGGTTGTTGAGCCCGGTGTAGTATATCGCCACGTCCGACGCCAGCGGTTGCTGATAATCTGCGGGCTTGGGTCCGCGACCTGCGTTCTGCTGGGATGACGTTAATGCGCTGTTCGCATCGCCATACCCTCCGCCGCCTTGGTCGCCAGCCCCAATGGTCATGCCGCTGTGGCTTGGGCGTGACACGGCCGGCGCGGGCCTTTCCAGTGGGGCGGGAAGATCCCCCACGACATGCTGATGCTGCTGCTGTCGATCCAGGGTCGGGACAGGTGACGGCACCGGAGGACGGTATTCCGCTGGCTCCTTGGGCGGTCTGGGTGGTGGCCGCGTTGGTATCAACGGCGAAGAGGATGTCATGATCTCTGGTTCTACGGGCACCGCAGGAAACCTGCGGACAAAGTCCTCGGTGCTACGGTAGAGGCTAGGTGATTCGGCATTCTCCATGTCGTTCCTGACCGTCTCCTGCCACGCCCTGATGTCGTCTACCTTCATGGGCGTCACGCGATACTTGGACTTCCTACGGCCCACGGCAGCGCTACGACGGAGCTGAGCCGTCCTGGACGTGGCGGCCGACGTGGCCTGCAACGACCCGGGACCCATGAGGTCCACCCAGGCGTCGATTCCGCCCCTGAGCAGTCGCGGCGGCTGCTTCAGCTCCCGCCCGTAGTTGAGGTGCAGCAGCGCCCTGTGGAGCGAGGAGATGGCCAGGTCGTCCTGGCTCCGAGGGAATCGGGGAATCTCCTCTGAGTCTTGATCGTACATGACAACGAGATCGTAATCGTTGCGCTTCTCAAAGAGCGAAGACTCCGGGTCTGGCGAAATGATGAGGCTCTCGGCGATGCTGTCGGCCGACAAGTCTTCCCGTGCAAGGATGCTCGGCTCGATGCATATAACTGACGAGGACATGATGTGACCTTCGTCAAACTCCTCTCGGGGTCGGATGTCTATGACGAGGACGGCACTGTTGTCTTTCATGGTGCGGTAGAGCTCTTCGGCTTCAATGACTTCTCGTGATGAGAGGTCCATGGATACCTTTGGCGATGAGACAATCGACGACTGGTCCGTCGATGGCCCCCCTAAGGATGAGGGGCCTCCGCTCATGGAGCTGGTGGGGATGGGGGTGAAGTAGTCCTTACGCGAAGGCTGCGAGGACGCGCTGGGGCTGCCTGCGATCGAAGCGGACGAACCTGTCCGCGTAAAGGGGCCCCGCGGTGTGCTGGTAGGTAACCTGACCGACTCTTCCGACATGTTACCCCGAGCAGGACTGTAGATGGCCTCCGGTAGCTTCGGCAGCGAGGGCGTTGCAGTGTCGATCTCCACCTTTGGCTTCGGGTTGCTCGTAGGCATGGCTCGTGGCCCCGCTGGCTTCCCGGGCGCCCCAAAGGGATGTGTCTTTATGCGGGGATCCTGTCCCGGGTATGCCTGGGGCCCCCGCAACGAGGCAAACCGGGCGGCGAGGAGGTCGTTTGCCACGCTCGTCGTCGATTGTGAGCGCCCATGGGCGGCTTTCAGAGTGTTTCCGTGGAGCGAGGGGGGTTTGGGACGAGGCGTAGGTTTCGCTTTGGCCGGGGCTCCATTGGTCGATGCCCCGTTCGTTGGAGGAGGCGGCGACGTCGTTCCGTTGGACTGGATAGAAGGAAGCGAGACAGCATGCGGTTCGCTTGCAGAGCCGTGAGACGAGCTCGGCCTGGAGGATGTCAGGAGGGGCATGACACCTGTCCTCTTGTTGTCCTGGCGGATATCTGCCTTGACCTTGTCGTAGGCGTCGTAGAGGCTGTGGATCTGCTTCAGCAGAGCGTTGTGCTTCTTGTACAGCTCATTCCCGCGGTTGCTCTGCATGGTAGGGTAGTCTTTGTGGTGCTGGATGACGCGGACGGCGATGATAGAAGCCCGGATGTAGTCCTTGAGTGCATTGGCGGGTCTGCCAAGCTCGCGGCTCATCTCGGCGGAGCGCAGCGACGTCTCGGAAAGTTCGAGAAGACGCTTCAAGCTCTGGTTCGGGTCGATATCCTTGGGGGCAGCCGTGATGTCGTCGATGTGCGGCAGAGGTGCCGCCCCGGCCCGGGGCGCGCCTCCATTGCTCGTAGGGCCGGCCATGTGCACGTACACACACACGCGAGTTATGCTACAGCCTCAGTCGGTCGATAGGGTGGCGGGAATCAAAAAGGTCACTCCCCGTTCCCAGAAGATAAAATGTGGCCGATCTCAGCCTCTTTCTCCCATGGGAATACTTGCTCGGTCGGGACGGTCAGCCAAGCACTGGACCTCGTCCAGGCCACGAGTAGTGGTCGCGGCGACGTAGTAGTGGTGCTTATCTGTCAGAATGCGAGGAGTCGCATAGAAAGACATCGGAGACGGTCTCGATGGGAGTTGAATGACATTAAGGGCCGGGGGTCGCGGGGGGAAGAGCTGGCGCGTGTCTTTGCGTGTCAGAGAACACCCGGGACTTGGAATGAGGATGGGGATGGCCGAGGTCGGGATGAGCTGTTATATGATGAGAGCGGTCGGGATGCTGGTCATGACGCTCGAGACAAAAGGGGGGGGAAGAAGAGAGAGAAGAGATGGGGAATAAAGGGCTTCGCTATCTTCAGAAGAAGCGGATAAAAGAAGAGACGGTCGTCGTTTTGTCCAGGGGCGATTCTCTATGATGGTATAGGAATGGTCAGAGAGCGCAGCGTTGATGTGACGAAGCGTCGTACTCTTATGTGGACGGTGCCACCTAAGAGCCTGGAGCGGGTAGGTGCTTTGTCGCTGTAGTTACAAGAGCAGAATGAAAGGTACTTGGTCGCAGCGCTGGAGATGCCCACGAAGCAGGTATCTTTTAGGCACAGGTTGTATAGCAGTAGCGGGCAAACCCCGCTAATCTAAAATCGCAGTGCGGAGCGCTTTGACAACAGACCCCGTCCTTCACCTCTGCCAGCTGCTATTATTAATGGGAGGGATGCCATGTGGGAATCAGCCGATGGCAGTACAGATACATGTACAGGTTTTTGATCGACTGTTCTACTATTCCCTACTCACCTTCTTCGTTAGAAATAAAGAAGGGTCATGAGAGTGGTGCTTACAATATTACGAGCACGAATACTCATACTGGCCACGACCCATGCAAGGTGGTGACTTCTCGCCTAGGCTCCTGTGCCCTCAGCCACCCTACGTCGTCGTCATCGCCACCAACCACAACACGGTTGCTGGTACCTAAAGGACGATGAAATGCCAGTATAAGAAGGCCAGGAAGATTACCTCGCAGATTCTGCAGGTTCTTGCATTAGGCTACCTTGGGAATGTAAGTGTGGGAGGGAGGAAAAAAACACGTGGAAGGTTAGCTGTGGCTTTCTAGATAATGCATACGTCGATGGAGGTGTTTTCCATGTCTAGGCTACCGAAAAGACGCCTGCCGTGCTGATGCCTCGATATCGTAGCACTACATGTATCTGCGAGGACTGCAGTCTTGATGGAAATATACATATGACTCTGGTTGATAGATCCACTACTGTCTCAACAATCCTCTACGATGTACTGGAGTATTTTTTGATATGCTTGGTCTTCTACCAAGCATGAACTGGCGGCCAATGAAGGCAGTAACATTGCATTACCTTGGGCCGTCCAGTCTGTGGCGCGCAGTATTTCTGGTATTACCCACTTTAACACTCGTGCACGCCAGTAAAGGGCCCCTCCGCCCCTTGGGTCAACGTCACTGTCACTGCACCTGACTCTGCGACGAACAGCTTCAACCTGGAGCAACCAACATCAAATCTCTCCCCGCCCACATCGACGCAGGCACCACTCACGCAGCCGCCAGACGACGACAATAGGATCTACCATCATCAAGATATTGAGAACCCCGCCTCTGAACTTACCGCATAACCTGCGTCGCCGAACGGGGCAGCCTGATTGTGCCCGCCATGATGAGCTGGTGGTCGTCCTCGGCCAACACGGCCTTGGACGAGCAGATTGAGAAGGCGACGAGCAGTAGTCTGTGAGGACACCTCACCTCCTGGCCGTCAAGTACCAGATACAGAGGAGGATGTGCTGACTCGGTATTGCCAATTCACAGGGAGGACATCGCCCTGAACCTCGAGATCTCCGACGTCATCAGGTCCAAGACGGTCGCTCCGAAGGAGGCCATGCGGTCGCTCAAACGGCGCATCGGCAACAAGAACCCCAATACTCAGCTGAGCGCACTGAATGTGGGTGGCACCGACTCTCGAGGGTATGGGAGATGATGGCTGACTGGCTGACCGGGTGCGTATAGCTCGCCGACACCTGTTTCAAGAATGGAGGATCGCATTTCCTAGTCGAGGTCGCCTCCCGCGAGTTCATGGACAACTTCGTATCCCTCCTGCAGCTCGAGGGGCCCGCCATGATCAACCAGGCGGTTAAGTCTAAGATCCTCGAGCTGATCCAGTCGTGGGCGGCAGCTACGGAAGACCGGTACGAACTCGCCTACATCAACCAGGTGTACAAGATGCTCCAGAAAGACGGATACCAGTTTCCGCCACGTCAGACGGTCTCGAGCAGCATGGTAGACAGCAGTGCGGTACGTGCATCTCCATCCTCCCCGCCCCTCTTCCCCATGCTTGGGTAGGCGGGCACAAGTCGCTGACGAGCAGACATAGCCTCCCGAGTGGGCGGATTCCGATGTCTGCATGCGATGCCGAACACCCTTTACGTTCACCAACCGAAAACACCACTGTCGCAACTGCGGAAACTGCTTCGACCAGCAGTGCTCCACCAAGGTGGTGGCCCTCCCGCACCTCGGCATCCACACGCCGGTACGGGTCGACGACGGCTGCTACGCCAAGATCACGGGCAAAGGCTACAAGGAGCTGGACCGGACGCCGACGTTCCCCCACAAGCAGCGCAGCTCATCTGCCATGCAGCCGCGGGATGCCCGCGTGGACACGGACGACGGCTTTGACCAGGACCTGAAGAGGGCGCTGGCCATGAGTCTGGAAGACGCTGGGCAGCCGCACGCGCCGGCGCCACCCATGCCCAGCGGGCCGTCCAAGGCCACCGGTGGCGGCGACGCAGAAGCGGCCAAGCAGATGGAGGAGGAAGACGAGGACCTCAAGGCGGCCATCGCAGCATCGCTGGCGGATATGGAAGAGCAGAAGCAGATGCATTCGGCCGCGCTGAAGGAGCAGGCGTCGAACCCCGCCGCCACCGGCTCGTCAATGGCACCTGGCTCTGCGCTCTACAAGAACGACTACGAGCTGACGCCTGTAGAGGCGGAAAACATCAACCTCTTCTCGACGCTCGTGGATCGCCTGCAGATGCAGCCACCGGGAACGATTCTGCGGGAACCGCAGATCCAGGAACTGTACGATAGCATTGGGGCTCTGCGGCCGAAGCTGGCGAGGACATATGGCGAGACGATGAGCAAGCACGGTCAGTCACCCCCCCCCACCCAAGCTGTATGGACTCTTAGTCATGTCGGACTAGCTTCTACCGCTTATCCTGACTATGCCTGAGTGATGGTCTGTACGATGTTGGAGTAACCTTTTCCTAACGATGGGAAATTATCAGATACCCTTCTGGACCTCCACGCAAAACTATCCACGGTCGTGCGATACTATGACCGGATGCTGGAGGAGAGGCTCTCCAAGGCCTACAGCCAGCAGAGCATCGGTGGCTACGGTCTGCCGTCGCAACGCCAGCCCTCGGGCCCGTACCCCTCATTACCGTCTCGCGCACCCAGCGCCCCTGGGGGAGCGGAGAATTTTTACAACCTCAACCATCGTCTCAGCTACCAGGCACCGCCGCCTCAGGTCACGGGCCAGGTATACCAGCAACAGCCGCAGGCGACCCCTCAAGCTCAGTTTGCTTCGTACCGAGCTGGATCCGAGACTGCTCCTCCTCTAGGGCCGTATCCCACCCAGGGGGGTGAGAACTGGCAAGGCATGCCGCCCGTTGTGCCGCAGGACCCATATTACCCGCAGCAGCAGCAGCAGCAGCAGCAAGTTCAATCGCCGCAGCAGGCTACGGGCACACCGTCCCAAGACACACACGCTTCGTATTATCTCGGTAGTGGTGGCGAGCAGCAGCAGCAGCAGCAGCAGCAGCAGCAACATCAGCAAGGGGTCCAGGCACAGACACCCTCGGCGCCCGTGCTGGCATCCGGGGTGCCAGCAGGATCTGAGCCAGGACCATCGTCGCCCTATTCCAACCTGACGCAGCAGCAGCAGAATTTGCAGTTCCACAGCACGGCGTCCATGTCGTCTCAGGCAGCTGCCACGCCCCCTCCTATCTCCACCCCCGTCGGTAATCCTTCTGCTGCTGCCTTGCCATCTGCCCCTCAAGGTGGTAGCGGTACGGCTCCGTCGGCCCCTGCCAGCAGTGTCCAGCAGCAGCAGCAGCAGCAGGCTCCGCAGTCACCGACTGCCCAACGAGTGGCGGCGGCTCCTCCGAGCCAGCAATATTGGCCCAGCGCTCCCGCTCTCGCACCTGGCCCTACCCCCGGTCATGCTCCTCCCCCTCAGCAGCAGCAGCAGCAGCAGCAGAACTGGGGGTATGCAGGATATGCGGCGAGTGCCCTGCCAAGTGTTCCCCAGGAGGAGCCCATCAAGCAGCAGCAGCATGTGCAAGAGGAGGCTCTTATCGAGCTGTAGTAGTAGCAGTAGTAGCAGCAGTAGCAGTAGTAGCAGTAGCAGTAGCAGTAGTACTAGTAGTAAATTTTCTGCAGGATTTGGCAAGTAGACTAGGTATAACATGTTTTTTTTGTCTCTTCGCGTCTTGCGTTTCTCCGAGGTGATGGGGGTATTGGGGCTATATATGTGGGGAATCTATCGTGTGAGTGAAGGGGAGACTGGTAGCATAGGGATTGATAGGGAGACGGGGAGGGTGAGCTTCTATGCTGTAGACGGCAGGATGTTTCATAGGAGAGAGAGAGAGAGAGAGAGAGAGAGATGATAGCAACATGTCAGCTGTAACGGTTCATTTCCAGCCTCATCTGCATTGCGTGCAACATGATATCGACACTCCCGTTTCAAGAGGACTGCCCTACTTTGGTAGTAATAATAGTAGTAGCATCAAAAGTGTCTAGTAAATAATACTACTAGGTATATCTGGCTATATGCGTTGTAATTCAAGTGTGGGGCAGAGAGAAGAACGGGGGGGGGGAGGGGTTGTAATTCAATATCGGTGAGTTTAAAGGCCAAAAAAAGTTGTCCTCGTGATGATTCTGAATTTTCTTTCTTGTATGAGTATGTTGTCTCTTTTCAAGTGTTTCGGGGGTGATGGGACCGGGCAACGGGGGGGGAGGGTCGAAGGTGGGTAAGAAGAATAGCATCATCCCCCCCCCCCCAAGGTATTTTTACTCGACCAAATGGACGAAAGCGTATAGCCGACCAATCTCGGTGCGCACTGATCAACTTGCCTGGTCCGGGGGGCCGAGGGGGGAAGATGAATGATGAACAGTATCAATGTACACACGAAGTCTCAGGGGTAAGGCCCATTGCCGGACCGGACGGTGACCGAGTGATACATGTATGGGTGAGAGTATTTTCACTAGTAGCAATGCAGCTCTCTTCTCTTCCGTCAGCCCCTCTCTTAAACGCACCCTTCGAAAGAAGAGCGTCCGGTCGTCAGTTTCGACGTACCAGACGGGTAGAATTATCTTTTTATTTTTATTTTTAAAATTTCTTTTCCCTGTTTCGATCGAGAGCGTGGGGGGACAGTAATCTCTGTCTTGGGGGAGGGGGGAGGGGGGAGGGGTGGTGGTGGAAGGAACGAGGGAGAGGGGCCGTGTCAGGGATGTTGAGAGAGAGAGAGAAATAGAGAGAGAGAGAAATAGAGAGAGAGAGAAATAGAGAGAGAGAGAAATAGAGAGAGAGAGAAATAGAGAGAGAGAGGGTGAGTGAATGAGTGAGAGTGAGAGAATACGATGGGATACAGAAGAAAAGGAAGAAAAGCTTAGCATAGCTATCAGTTTGGGGAGGGGGACCGCATCCGTTCGGGTTTCTCTCCCGGCCGGTGCATGTCAGCCCGAGCGAGGTGGGGAGGGGGAGGGAGCATACGCGGTGTCACACATCGAGATCGTGTTTGATAACTTGAACTGGAAAAGAAACATATACCATGCTCATAGGTTCCAGCTTCTGTCTAGTCCAAGGCGCAGAAGCGCGTGTCCCACCCACACTCCAGATTATCCCCCTTTCTCCCCGCCTGGAAGAGGTAATACATGCAATGATATATGTAGACTAAATGATGGGGTCCGGGTGGTGGGGGTGCGCGGGCTGATTAGTGCCGTTACTACTTAGTACTTGCTACGCTTAGCAGTCCTCGTCCCGTGGAAGCCGTAGTCTGCTGCTGACTACTGCGTACTGCTATTAATATTGCTACACGTATAATCTGTACTCCGTACCGAGTGCAGAGCTATGGAGTCTACTCCGCGTGCCAAGGGCGGAGTAGGACAGTGGTCGGGTACGGGGGAGGGGAGACGGAGCAACGGTGGGTTGCTAGGCTCCAATAGGCGGTAGACTGTATCGATCAGCACCATCGTTACTCGTAGGCATCTGCTATCACGTTACCGATTACGGAGCGAAGAGTCACGGTCCCTACGACCGTCCAGCGGGCGATGGTGCTGTTGATGCCCATCAGCAATGCCCGTGCTGGTACCATTCACGGGAGCTATCGATAGATGTAGCAGCAGTGGTATCGGCACTGCGCGTAGGGAGCCGCCCAGCTAGTCGGAGTGCCTGCCCACTGTGATGATGCGGTCTACGGGATGGGGATTACGAGCAGAGGTGCCTGGATGTATCAAGGTCTGGGCAGTTCTGTTCACCTTTGCCATGTTAGATTAATCGTGGCCTGTCAATGCTTATGCAACAAGTTTTTTCCCCTCCATCCTCGTGTGACCCCTCAAAGTCACATCGGACTCTTGTGGTCCGATGTGGGATTTATCTTCAGTCGTCACAGCGGCCTGCTCTGAAGAAGAAGAGCACATCATTTTTTTTTAAGCCTCGACCGTTTAGGAAGGCATACAGAACGTTTGCCATCTGCATTACAAAATCACCCACACCCACACCCACTCCCGCTCCCACTCCCACTCCCACTCCCACTCCCACACCCACACCCACACACACACACACACACACACCCACGTCCACGTCCACGTCCACACACACACACACATACACATACACACATACACGCACACACCAAGAATAAGACGGAGAAGCCAAAAGAACGTTGTCAGAGAAGCCAGAAAAGGATCGGTTGGGACAGAGTGAGAGCTCAGAAGAAAATGCCTGCCATCATCCATCTCGTCCGTCACGCCCAAGGTTACCACAACCTGTCCGTGGAGAATGAGCAGATGCACGACCCGGACCTGACCCCCCTGGGTGAGGAGCAGTGCTCTGCACTCCGAGAGGCTTTCGGGCAGGAGCAGCACGCCAAGGTCAAGTGTCTGGTGGCCTCGCCCCTCAGGAGGACACTGCACACCTGCATACTCGGCTTTGCTCCTCGACTCTCCGAGGGGGAGGAGGAGGAGCAGCAGCAGCAGCAGCAGCAGCAAGGACAGAGAGGAAGAGTTCGCGTCAACCCCAACCTCTACCCGGTTAGAGCCCTCGACATACTGCAAGAGGTGTCGGCCGAGCCGTGCGACACTGGATCCTCCACGGACAGGCTGGCGGCCGAGTTCGGCAGCCGTGTGGACCTGACTGGGGTGGACGACGCTGACTGGACGGACAAGACGAGCGGCTCTAGCAGGTTCGAGCCCACGGCGGAGAAGCTGACGGCCCGGGCTAAGGAGGCCAGGAAGGTGCTCAGGCGTATCGCTTCAGAGTTTGGGGGGGAGGGCGTCGAAGAGGTTCACATCGTCGTCGTCACGCATGGCGGGTTCCTTCACTTCCTGACGGATGATTGGACTGGCATTCCTCAAGGAAAAGGTACGATTCTTTCCCTCCATCCCTTCCTACCCCCTTCCTTTCCTCTCTCTCTCCCGCTCTCTCTGCTCATGAGTGTTGCTTTGGTGGAGATGAGCGATGCTGTGTATGGGAACACCCGCATTGGGAGAGCGTGCGGTATGGAGAATGGGGAGTGATCATGTGTGTGTGTGTGTGTGTGTCTGTCAGATGCTAACCCACACCCCTGCAGCAACCGGATGGTCCAACTGCGAATACCGGTCTTACCAATTCGTCGACTCCACCTACAAGGACGACGATGCCGAGTTGCAGGAGACGGAAGGGAGTTGGCGACGTCGCAGCGGCTCGATCACCCGGCCCACCCGCACGGAGCAGAAGGAGATGGGGGCCGTGGTGCAAGATTCCCTGACTCCTCTGCTCAAGCTCAAGGTCTATTAGTACTAGCCTTTCTAGTCTTCTTATCTAGTCTTCTTATCTCGGCCACACCCCCCTCAATTAGGAGATGTTTTGGCCCTCTTTTTTTTTTCTTCTTTTTTCTTCTTTCTTGTATTTGTTATTTTAATTTCAACTTGGGAAGCGTGCTTTCCCACCTTGCCTCTTCCATCTTTTCTTTTTTTCCCCTGCTTGTTCCATCTTTTACTTCACCGTTCTTTTCCCTTTTCTGAATACCTACTCTCGTTGTAGAGTTGGTGATTACTTTTTTTTCTTTTTCTTTTTCTTTTCTCTTTTTTTTTTTTTTTTAAAAAAAAAAAGAGACAGATAAATTGATGGGTGAGAGATGAACGTGGTCACGCCGGACACAGTAAATGAAACTGGCTGGGAAATTAGAAATAGACGCGGAAATTATACCATAGTCACGAGGACACAAGGAGAAGACAAAACAAAACAAAAATAAGAGAGAGAGCAGAGACAGTGCGATACGGATGAATCTATCGAGAAGTCCAGGGTGTAGCGATTAACGTATTCGGAATAAGTCGAGTGCGATCAGAGTAGAGAGTGATGGTGCAGCGGTACTGAGGAAGCGGGAGGAAGCCGGAATAAGCACCAGCGAGTGGGGGAGGAGAAGAACCAAGACAATAAAAAAACAAAAAGAGAGGCTATCGTCAGCCTTAAAGCAGAGCATAGCTGGTGTTGATGATAGAGTGGAGACTTCTGTTGAGGCTCTAGCCTTGCGGCCCGTGGGGCGACGCACACAAGTACGGCATGGGGAGGGGGGAGCACAAAGTACGAGGTGAGAATGAGAGACAGCAAGGCATTCCTTGGGTCTATCTACACGCCCGGCATTGCCGTGCTCTGTACGTATACGAGCATCGGTGTCCAATGTTCAATGGGCCCGGATCCATACGAAGCAAGGACGGACGGGATCCGAAGGGCGGGAATGGATACGACCAGAAGACGGCATGTCCGTCGCTTTCTTCTTCTCACCCCCACCCCCTCGCTTTTCCCTGTTGCGAGGGGAAAAAGTTGGAGGAGTTTGGAGGAATAAGGGGGGGGACTCTGTGAAGAGAGAGAGAGAGAGAGAGAGAGAAACTCGAGAAGGTACTGGAATCTGGGTCCGTGGGGGTACAGAGCACCACGGACCACGTATGCAAAGTGTGCATGTGATGTGGTTGCTGACGCTAAAAATGGATGAGTTCCATGGGGGCGAGAAAGAGGGAGTGGTCCGTGACTCCCCAAGACTCCCGGTCTTCCATCTTGTTCTATCCCCCCTCCCCGGTTGTGGTCCCGTACTCCGACTCCGTATTTGATACCGATGGGTCCGTGCCCTGCCTTGTCTTGTGTGTGCGTCCCTGGGGCTGGGGCAGTGCGGCTGGTTGGGGTTCGAGATTACTCGCAAATCATTGTCAAGAGGAGAGAGACGCAGAACCTATCCTGGGTCCTGACAGACCGATGCGGCTCAACTGCCACGGTGTTTTTATGAGGTGGACCAAAAAAATTAAAATAAGATATAAAAAAGAGAGGTCAGATGGTCACGACGACTCCGTGATGACTGCATTTGTCAGTATTCTTGATCTTTACGGAGTCGTGATTTATGATTGCATGGTATTCCCACGGGTGGTGCACTATTGGTAATATGGGGAGGGAGATGGGGGGGGGAGTGTTGGCGTCAGAGACTTATATATCTTTTTTTTTTTTTTTCTTTTTTCCTCGGGCTTGTCTTGTTTCGGTAACCAGCCAAGTCGGAGGATTGATATGCACGAAAGTGCAGGCTGATCAGCAATCAG